GGGGGGGGGGCCTCCTGTTGTCTAGCAAATTCCCTCTTCCGGGACCGGGCAGGTGAGAGCCAACCTGTATTTCTAATGCGTGAGCTCTTGCTAAAGGAAGATTGAGTGGGGAGGGCACATTAGATAATATCAGTGACCTAATGTCTGTCCTGAATGCTACAGTTTAGCCAAGAAGCCCTCTGGCAATAGCAATCGGTCACTTTCTTTTTTCTGCAAATGCCTTCCATTCAGCTGAGTGGCTGCTTTGTGTTAGGAAGGATAGCATTTCTCAAACAGTGAGTATTAGGTGACTGTGGACTTAAAGCTGTCCTAAGCCCTTAAGACTACATTATGCGTCTCTGTTGGTACGTAGTCATTTTCACCTGAAACTCCAAAGAATCCTAGGATAAAGACCAAGTAAGACTCTCCCATATAATTTAGATATTATGAATGTTTGTATGGACTTGTTGGGATGCAAACTCTCCCTACATTTAGACCTTGAAGGTTATGCCATGGAAAGTAACTTTCCTTGAATCTGCAGTAGGATCATTACTTCAACCTGTGACGTTAATGGTCTGATAACCGGAACATTCCTAATACACCCCACATGAGGTTCAAGGGAACGGCAGCATGGCCAGCATCATGTAGCAATTGGAACTGGGGACTGGAAGTCAGGGGATTTGGGTTCTCTTGGCTATCGCTAACCAGCCTGTGCCTTAGTTCCCCCCCTTAGTTTCACCTTTTGTGAAACAATTTGAGATCCCGTGATACAAGACACACAACGCTCCAACTGTTTCTTTGTACCCCGTCCCCCACCTTTGCAGCAGTAGCAGTGAGAGAAGAAGTCACATAGAGCGCTCTTTCAGGAAGAGCCCAGGGAACATCAGTGTAACTGCAGACACAGTGGAAACGGCTTATACAGTTGCGTGACTGTTCCGTGCTCCTTTTCCTTGCAGTGGGCTTGCTAAAGCAGTTGTTGATGCAGCATCTGGGCATGTCTGAGAAGGGGACGCTGGAAGGCTGGCAGCGTTTTCCTAAGTTTAGGACCGTTTCCCGAGGGGCCCAGGCACAGAGTGGAGTTCAGGATGGACTACAGCCTTCTGATGACAAGATGCAGCAGTCTGGAACAGACGGGATGCATCCCAGAACAGGAGCTAATGAATCCTCCGCTTGTTATGGCCTCCGGACTTCAGCCGAATTCCCAGCTTCACAGGATGCTGTGCAGCTGGGATCTAGACACACCAGGTCTAGTAACAGTTTAGTCACGGACCATGTGAGTATGACCCTGGAGACCCCTGCCACCGAGCTGGAAGGGGGGGGTGCTGATGACAATGGAGAGCACTTCTTTGATGCTCATGAGGCCCACAGCGATGAGACTCCATTGGAAGGTGAAGTAATGGAGAGAAAGGAGGAAGAGGAGGTACACATACGGATCTCAGGTGAGCATATCCTTTTGTACACGCTGCACTAAATTTATAGCCAATCCCGCTCAAATGCCAGACACGTTATTGTGTTCAGATAAGAAATCTATAGGAAATATGTTTCTTAAAGTGAAGCACAGTTATGCTCAGGGCTCGACAAATTGTACAATCTACTCACCCGTGGTGAGTAGATTGTAACCTGGAAGAGCCAGGTTTGGGCGATCTGCTCATGCGCAGAACGATCTTGCACGTGCAGATCACCAGACAGCGCGGCTGGCGAGTGGGGCTCGGCGAGCCCTGTCAATTTCAATTGACAAAAACTAGAATCAGGGGTTCGGGTGATCTGCGCATGCACAGATTGCTGGACAGCACAGCTGGTGAGCCCTGGTTATGCTTTCCTGGTAGAATCTCCCTTGCTGATGCAATAGAGGACACTTAAACATAGCTCTTCTCATCTTTGAACGTGTCTTAATAACTAGTGTGTTATATTTTAAAAGTTATGTACAAACACAAACTAATTTATTCCCACAACCCCCTGAAGTGTAGCTAATTAAAGGAGAAACAGATATTGCTAATGGTTTAGCACAGGTTACAGCTGAAGAAACTGGGAATTTCTGGCTCTTGCCCATGTGAGTCAAAAGGGAGAGTCTGCAGACAGCATACTTTTACCATGGATCTCTCCAAAGCTATATCCCACAGTCTCCCATTTCAGACTCCATTAAGTGGTGGTGCTCATCTCCATTCCCAAAAGTATGGCAACATATGCTTGTTACCAACTATCAATGCTCTGTCACCCCGCAGAACATCATGGGGACTTAGTTGAATACCGAAACTTACAAAATAACTTTCTCTTTGGATGTAGTCATAGCACTTCCTGAAATGTTTCTCCACCACATGTCAGAAGATCCAACTCTGGCTACATCCTACACCATGATTGCCGATATCATTTTCCATCTCACTAACACTCTACCAATAGTAGTGACTGCAGAGGCATCAGCTTGGGCTAGCTAAGTGTGGCTGTACCCAGGAGTTCAGGCAGCCTTGTACAGCCCTTGCTGGAGCTCAGACCATTGTGTCCTCACTGCCCTTCGTAATGCGTTGGCTTTAAGAGCTATCTACACAATCTGTACATTCCATCCCTGGTTGTAGGGAAGTCACCTGTGAGGCATGACTATGTATATAGAGCTCCTTCAGGATCCTTTAGACAGCAAACTGGAATGTCTCATCTCTTCCTTCTTGCTACATAAAAATATGTAGACAGAACGTTATTTTCAAAGAGCAGAGAAATGATGGTTTGGTGCTGTACAGTGAGTCTCAATAGCGCAACGTAGACCATGTCACTTCAAATGTGTGACCCCTTGGGATAACTGTGCGGGGGGCGGGGGGGTTCTAGTCTACTAGAGTTCTTTGAGGGGGGTCATCAAGCATGTGGGCAGTATTCAGTAGATATAGTATACTTGGATTTCCAGAAAGCCTTTGACAGAGTCCCTCATGAAAGGCTCTGAAGCAAAATTAGCTGTCATGGGATCATCGAATCATAGGGCTGGAAGAGACCTCAGAAGGTCATTGAGTCCAGTCCCCAAATAAGAGGAAAGGTCCTCATAGATTGATAACTGGTTAAAAGACAGGAAGCAAAGGATAGGAATAAATGGTCAGTCCTCAGAATGGAGAGGCGTAACTAGTGTCCACTACAGCTCCATACCGGGACCAGTCCTATTGAACACACTCCATAAATGGTCTGGAGAAAGGGGAAAGCAAAGTTTGCAGATGATACAAAACTGCTCAAGGTAGTGAAGTCCTAAGCAGACTGTGAAGAGCTTCAAAAGGATCTCACAAAACTAGGTGACTGTACAGCAGTGTTGATAAATGCCATGTAATGCATAGTGGAAAACATAATCCCAACTATGCGTCTAAAACAATGGGGACAAAATTAGCTGTTACCATTCAAGAGAGGAATCTTGAAGTCATTTGGGGTAATTCTCTGAAAACATCCACTCCAATGTGCAGTAGTAGCCATAAGCTAACAATGTTGGGAATCCATTTAAGAAAGGGGTAGAGAGTAAGACCGAGAATATCTTATTGCTTCTGTGTAAATCCATGGTACGCCCACATCTTGAATACTGTCTGCAGATATGGTTGCCTCATCTCAAAAAGATAATTTCTGTTGCCCTTTTCTGATCTATTAGGGATATGGGGAATGACTGCCACAAGAGGAGAGATTAATAAGCCTAGGATTTGTCATTTTAGAAAAGAGGAGACGGGGCGGGGGAAGAGTATGACAGAGGTCTATAAAATTGACTGGTGACAAGTAAATAAGTAAAGGAAATAAGGAAAAGTTATTTACTTGCTCCAATAACACAAGAACTAAGGGTCACCAAATGACATCAATAGGTAGAAGGCTAAAAACAAACAAACAAAAGGAAGTACTTCACACAGTGCACCTGTAGAACTCCTTGCCAGAGGATGGTGTTCTTTAACATTCAGCAAAAAAGAACTGATAAATGCATGGAGGAAAATTATGCCTTTTGTTTCATATCTTTTAACCTGTTACTTGTCCTTGAGAGGACCTTCCCTCTAATCCCATGACCCCTTATTTTGCTTAAGAGCCCGGGTGAGAGATCTTATCTAATGCTTTCTGAAAGTCCAAGTACACTGTAGCCAGTGGATCAATGTTTGTTTGACCCCCTTTCAGAATTCCGATTGAGGCATGATTTCCCTTTATAAAGCATGTTCGTTTGTGTCTGATTATTCTATTCTTTACAATGGTTTCAACCAATTTACCTGACACTGAAGTCACATTTACTGGCTTGTAATTACTAGTCCTCTGATGCCTTTTTTAAAATTGGCATCCCATTAATATTGCCTATTTTATAGAACTTTTTAATGCCAGCCTAAATTTGAGCATAACCGATCTGAACATCTCTCTGAAACAGCAGAATGAATGCCACTTAGACACTTAGCAGTATGATTCGAGAAGGCATGGATTCTGTTGTTGTAATGAACAGCATATTGAATATTTCTGATGAGAAAAACCGAGCAACAGACCATATGGTTCTCAAACAGACCCTACATACATCTTTAATGGTTCCCATTACGAACCAGTCTAGTCCAGCCCAGTTCAGGGCTTGGCTCTGCCAGGTATTCTCTGATGCTTTATCTAGTCTGTTCCAAAACTTCATAAGAGATGAATTTTTCACCACTTCCCTTGAAGTCTGATTTTAAATTGTCTCTCTAGTTCACGGACTTTTAGCAGTTTGTTGACCTGGCGTTGCTAGTACAAAACTGTTTTCTTAATAGGAAATTATTTGATCCTTGATGGATATGGAACTGTGCAGGAGAGCTCTACGGATGAGGAGGTGTCCTCGCTAGTTCTGCAGTACACTGCAGGTCACTCTTCTTTGGACTCGGCAAACCAGCAACCAGTTTCCCCACAAGACGCCCAGTCAGACGAAGGGAGCTCCTCATTTCCTGAGGAATTTATGGCCTCACGCTGGGCACAGGTGGACGAATTGTGCTCCGATGTACAGAGCCCCCACTTCTCAGTAGAGTCACGTATCCAGGTGATGCAGTACATTCAGAAGATAGAGGCTAACCTTGAACACCTAAAGGTACACCGCTTTTTTTAATGATTCAGATTTCAGTGCTTATGTAGTGTTTTTAAAAGGTGCAAATTGGGGGGAGAAGACACGAACCAGGAGAAGTGTGAGATCATGAATACAGTGCTTGTGTGATCAGACGAGAGAGAGAGAGCAGGAGTGTATGCTTGGATGATTTCCATGGATGGGTTTGAAACGGTTTCCTTGTCCTAAGTCCCATGGACAGGAGAAACCAGGAGCACTATAGACACGTGTGTGGATGTTAAATACATGTATGTTCTGTTGCAAACAGTTTGGAGATGCAACAGTTCTCCAAAGTGAGAAATGGAAATGAATGCAGTGGGTGTTACAGTAAGGTTGAAAAAAGAGTGGGAAGGTAGACCTACCCCAAGGCATAAGAAATATAAATAACTGACCTGGACATGCTTGCCCATTACTACTTACTAATGCTAATGTAAAAACAGAGTGGAAAGCCCCATTGTGCCAAGAGTATTTCAAAGTCAGTTTCGCTACATCTTGGGGATTCTATCCCATTTTGAGGTTTATTCTTCATCTGCCACAGCCGCACAGAACGTGAATAGTACTGTTTTCTGCAAGACAGGCCAGCTAATTGTGGCAACAGGGAACTTTCCTGCTCTAATGTAAAGAAGATCCAAAAGGAATCGGGGATTGCTTAGACGATTTTCCCCAGTGGAGGAACTTCTCGCAGGAGTTAGTGATGGAAAGTATTTAGCAACATGAGTATTACAATCCAGTCACCTCCCATTAAATTGTTTCCTGCTCTTAGCGCTAGAGATTCACTGAGGTCAGAAATAAAGAGCCACGTGGGTTTTGTCTTTCAGGAAGTTGAGGAAAATTACGCCACTCTCCTTCGCCAAAGGCCGACTGGATCAGCCCCCACAGATGAGCATTCAGGTACATGAACAACACATCATCCCTTCTCCCAGGGGCTCTTTCTAAATGATAATGTATGTTGTCATTGGATGCTGACCCCAAGTACCACGGACAACGACAGTTATTAATCTTTCAAGCAAAAGCCTTGGGAGATTTTTATTATGGCTTCAGCCTGTCTGGAAGCTGCTGGTTCCACAACACCATAAATCAAACCGATCCATCTTGGATCTGCTGATCATGCATTGTCTTCACTGGAACGAGTGAAGTAGGAGGCGCATCTCTTCACTTTCCGGTTCCCCCAGCTGCAATCCTCATTTTAATAAGATGCTCGGCTTGTGGTTTGGATCCACTTGGGGACTGAAGCCAGATGAATTAGATGGTAACATCTTCCGGATAGGCCCCTCTCCCTTTTTGGTGTGTAAGGCACCATGTGCCCTGTTGAAACCATGCACAGCAGCATCCTGGCTCCCTTTCAATTTGGTTTGAGCAGATATCTGTGATGCTGGCACACGCTGTTATCCCCGCAACCAGTGCTCTTGGAATTGGCGGAGCATTCTGAAGGGTGGCTCACTCCTCTCGTGGCCTGTTTCTCCCTCCCCGTCTCCTTCCCT